AATTATGGAGCTGTCCTAGCTATTGCTCAATAGTTACTATTTCTTTATTAGTAACCAAGGTCTTATCTGGCATTTGCATGCTTTCTATTGAATGATATTTGTAATTACAGTAAGATATTTGCGTGATTACTGTGTACTCTTTTTATTTCACAAAAAAAAAAAAAGTACAGTAAGATATTTTAGGTGTAAGAACTTAGGGTTGACGTTTTTGCAGAAGCAGCTTGTTGCATGTTATGTTAGAGCTAAACGAAGGAAAAACTATTAGTGCCGTATGAGATAAATGATTTAGAAGAATAGTAGGGACTGGTATATTCTTTTCTCATCTTGCTTTTGTTGCAAATTTTGATGTTTTTGTTCAGGATGCTGGCGGGGAAATTGATCCACATGGGGATCTGAACACGGAAGCAGAAAGAAAACTAGGCCAGCTTGTTTTGGACAAGTAATCCAACTTGTACTTGTATTCTGCTAGTAGATGGGCCCTATAGTCTGTGTTTTGAAAGAAAACCATCTTATAATCTGATCATTTATGTTTAAAATTGTGTACACAGTAATCATGTCAGAACTGAATTTTACATATGGTTGCAGGTATGGTACAGAATTTTACATATTGCACCGCTTCCCGTTGGCTGTCAGGCCGTTCTACACCATGCCTTGTCGTGATAATCCCCTTTATAGTAACTCATTTGATGTCTTTATTCGAGGTAATGGATAAACCAGCCTTGTTACGAATAGTTCTGCTGCTTGTCATTTGTACTTCTCTCAATCTTGGTCATTAATCAGTTAGATACTTTGAAAGTGGAGGTTTTGTTTGTAAGGAAATATGTTACCCATAAAACCTCCGAGATTTCTTGCTTGTTCTGTTTTTATATGTTGTTACTGGTCTGAAGACGAATTTCATGAGGACATCAAATTGAGTGCTGATAAAATTTATCTGATGAAATGAAATGGATGGTAAGGTTTAAAAATTCCTGTTTAATGGAAGGAAAGTAATGTATCCACATGCACCGCGCTGAAAGTGATTGCACGTCTGCTGCTGTTGATGAGAAAATCCTTTATACTTGCGAAGATTTACTGGGGAAGCATTCAATTTTTAGTGTAAATCTGGGTGAAAGTATAACTAAGGTAAATTGTTTCGGGATTAGGAGCTTCATTAGTATTAGGAAAAAAATTTCATAAGGAAATGCAAATCTTATTAACATTTGCTTGTGTTAGCATTTTCTAATGAATAGATAATTATATGCTTGATATGAATGCAGAAATTAGGATATTTCTGTCTAATCTTGGTTGTTGGTCTAGTACCTTTCTTTTCAATGAAATGCTTATGGAAATTGAAAATTTATAGTGCCATGTTTCTTATGAGGAGAATATAATTTAAGGAACCAACGGGTATAACCCATGTGATCTGTTCCTTGTCCTTCAGGTGAGGAGATAATTTCGGGAGCTCAGCGTATCCATGTTCCAGAGTTCTTGGCGGAACGTGCACAAGCATGTGGAATTGATGTCAGGACGATATCTACATACATTGATTCTTTCAGGCAAAATTCTTTTCCTAAATTTCTCCTCTGTTTAAATTCATCATCGGTACACTTTTCTCCCAGGGCGCTTAACCTATTGGAGAAACAAACACTGGAACTAACCATAATATTGCTCATAAGTGACTTAGAGAGTATCTGCCTTTTAAATCTTTATGTTTTGAAGGCTTTGGTGGTTGTGAGATCATTCATATTTTTTTCTGGTATGTTTCTACAGGTATGGTGCACCCCGACATGGTGGATTTGGAGCAGGTTTGGAGCGAGTTGTGATGCTTTTCTGTAACTTGAAAAACATTCGGAAAACATCACTTTTCCCTCGTGATCCGCTTCGGCTTGCACCATGAGTTTAAATGATTTCCAGTCACTTGATCATCTATATATCTTTTTGGCAGCGAAAAGAATGTTTTTCGCAGGCATGAAATAAATTTTCGCTCGTATCTTTGCGATTTTCAGTCGAAGCTGTTGGAACAGCTACTCTTTTGTTGACCCTGAGGAGTTATCATTTAATTTATCGTAATAGTTTTCTGATGTAGAACGGAATTTGCAAGAATCTGGAGAACATTTGATTTTATGTTTAATTGAAAAAAGAAAATTTGGGCAAGCATATGGATTTTTCTATATTTGTTTTCTTCTTTTATGCCAAAAATATGTTTTTCCTTGTGTTTTTAGCATGGTATACTTTCCATCTATTAGGTGGCCAAAATCTGATGGATGATTAATCCACGTGTACGGTCGAAAGAGCTCCTCACCACAAATCCAATGGAGGCCCAAACACACTTTATCCGCAACTTGGCATCTTGCCTACTCTGTGTTAACCACGCGGTCGCGGTCGTCCTAATTCTAATTTTCAGCGATGAAACAGCGTCGTTTTGTTGCTCGCTTACCAAGTTGTATTCTTGTTGAGGAACAGCGACACCTACAACCGTAAAAGTTCAGATTTCGTCTGTCAGATTGAAATCTATCCCCAGCGTCCTTTAAGCGCGTTTCCCCACGCTCCATTCCCAAGGAAACAGGAATTTTTAATTTAAATAAAAACCCAAATTTAATTAATGTTGCATTTAAATCTTAAATATAAATAGAAACATTTTAAATATAAATAGAAAATATTTTTAAAATATATAAAAATTAGTTTTCTTATAACATAACATAATTTTAATTCGGATTATTAATGTTAATTTGACCACCATTAGTGGAGTCTAATTACTTTTAGTATTGAATTTGATTTTAAGTTATATATATTGCCAGTATTATATTTACGTGTTCAATTTTGACTTGGTTGAAATATGATTTAATTCTGTTGTCAGAATATCTCAATTAAATTTTTTATTTTCCGTATTACTTATAATATATTATGATATTATATAATTTATCATATGTTAATATTATCTGTTAATTTTATTTTTTTTATTTATTATTATGTAAAATTTTTATTTTTATTTTTGCAAGTTTTAAACAAAATTTTTTAATATTTTATAATTTATAATTTTACTAAAGATAATTTATTACTGAATTCCTCAAAAAAAAAAAAAAAAGAAACCCCGCGCCTATTCCCTAAAATTTCATTTTTTTATTAAAAAAAAGTATTAGTTAATTAAAATGGATCCTTGTCCCAATAGAGTGTACCCACGCGCTCTAAACTCCGTGTAAATCCACCGACCCCACCCTTTCTTCCTCCGACGATAAAATCCCAGCTAACAACCACAACTTCACCCACTCCTTTTTGCCCTTCAGCCAACCCCCAAGTCCACCATTTTCAGAACTTAGACGAGAATATATATATATATATATAACAAAACATAAACACTAACCTACAACCTCTCTCTCCTCCTCTCAGCTTCATTGCGGTTATGGCGGTGTTCTCTACCTCCCTCGCGCCTCAAATCTCCGGCACCAAATCAGCAACCTCCTATTGCCCTCTCTTCTCCGGTCTTCGCCGATCATGCTCGAAACTCGACAGCATCTCCAACTCACAAGAGTCTTTTGTTCAACACATCAACTCTACTCTCCGTCTCTCCTCATCTTCTCGTAAGCCTTGCAGAGGCGTTGTTGCCATGGCCGGCTCTGGCAAGGTACTACCTTATAATCTTTTCTTTTTCGCTTTTGTTCCTTGGTTCGTGGTTATTATTTCCTTAAGATATAGCTTAGATGTGTTCTGGTTTTACTTTTCATGCTTTTTAGTGGAAATGCTTGTGATGTTAGGGAATGCTGGCCAGTTTCTCTGCTAGTACTAGTCATATTTGTTGGACTTGATTCCGATGTTGATGTAGGAAAAGACCCTTTTTTTTCTAATGTAACAAAATGAACTCGGGAAATTGTCTATGGAGGTTTGTGATTGGGATTGGTAGAGTCGTATACTTAACCAATTTGGTGTTTTTTTGGATGTTATGCTTATAGGAGCAGTTTGTTTGGATTTTTCTATTTGGTAAAACACAAAAACGTTGTGTAAAAATCTTTATTCTTCTATAATAATATTTCGTATAGGTTTTAATGCTCCCTCATTTGGTCATGTTTTAATCTCTTCTCTTTGCTGTATTTGCAGTTTTTTGTTGGTGGAAACTGGAAGTGTGTAAGTCCTTTTTTCTCATTGGCTCCATCTTACATTGTTTCTTCATAAAATTTATTAGAAGTCTGCAATTAGTTTCATCAATAATTGTTATACATGCTATATTTTATTTTCACAAGTATTTTCTTTATTCATATTCCCGTGCGTTTTGAATAATAAAAACTTGAGATGTACAAGGTTTTATTTCAAGTCAGTTTGTAGTTTGGAATTCTTAATCTTAGCTGGTAAATATGCAATTAACTAATAAACTTCTTAAGTCTATCTGAGACATAATTTCAGTAAGACATCATTATGGTGGTCCTTTAATTTTCTTTTATAGAATCTAAGCGGGTGAAGAAAAACAAGGAGAATTGTGTAGTATTAAATCAAATACTTCAGTAGGGGAAGTATTAAATCAAATGATGATTTGGAATTGGTTTTGAATCATTAAGATTGATGTTTCTTGCGTATCTAAATTCTGAGAATGCCTTTTGTTTTGACTCTTACGAAAACTAATAACTAGGCACAAGAAAGCTAAAGCATCATTATCAGTAGTCTAGGAGGTATGCTCAGGACATGGACATGTTTGTTGGAGTAAATAGTTTACTTTGAGATGAGAGAAGGTGAGGCTGCAACATAGTCCTTTCTTTCTTTTGGCTCTTCTAGTTATTTCAACAGGTACTTTTTTTCTATGGTTATTGGGATTATATAATATTTCAGATATATCTACATTTATCACTCCAGTCTCACCCTTATCACTTGGAATTAGATTTTTCCTGGTCTTATATACATGGGTTCTTCTGGCTTCTGAACTTTTCTAAGATGTCATTCATATCGTACGTTTATTATATTACATGCAAATGAGGGTTCTCCTAATGTATTCTTAAATTCAATCGTAGTCTTCTCTCTTTTCTTCTTACTCTTCTTCTAAATGGTCAATCTGTTGTATTTTCCTCTTATCGATTTTTTTGCTTCTATCCTGGAAATTTGGCATCAGATGGGTGATTCTCCTTCTTTGTTCAAACCCCATGTTAATTTTTAATTGCTGTTGTCGACTGACATTCTGCAACTTCCTTAAGTTAAAAAATGAGTGACAAACTGGTGCCCGATCATTGGCATGGCATAGACATGGTTGTTTTACTTATTATTCGTTTTAACTATTTTCTAAATGAGCTTATGTGTATTCTTGTCTAGAATGGCACTAAGGACTCCATCACTAAGCTTGTTTCTGACTTGAATAGTGCAACATTGGAGACTGATGTTGGTAAGATATTCATTTTCTAATACTCAATTATGTTTGCGTACTGCACTTTTCTTAAGCTTTATACTTTTGTAAGTGTTGTCTGTTGGTTGCTGGACGATCTGCACAGTTGTGAAGAACTTAGTATATCATCTAATCTAGGTGTACATGCTGTTTAGTCGTAATAAGATCAATCTGAGCATGTCCAGCAAACCCTCTAGCATATTGCAAAAAATGCCGTCTTCTTTGTCAAGTCCTTCTACCACAATCTTCTTGGCCAGTCAAATTTAGCTCTTAGATTTCCTTGAAAGCGGATCTAGAAGAAGAAGGCATCACTTGTATTGCCTTCTTCTCTAGGGAGGCTGCCTAGGGCAAAATCTTCACTGTTGCCAATCTAAAAAAACAAGGGAGAATCATTGTCAGTGTTTGCTAATTGTGCATTCAGGAGAATGAATCCCCTAATAATTTACTCTTGTAACCTGAATATATGGGATTCCGTTTGCAACCTTTTCTATATTTTTTCGGCTGGACAGCAGATTGGTGTCAGATGAATTCTGGGCCTGGGTGGCATTCCCATCAACAAGGAGAGGACGAAGCTCGTGTCCCTCATCCCATTGGCTATTGTGTGGATGATACGAAAGGAAAGGAACAACAGAGTTTTTGAGGACGCTGCTTTGTTTATACTATTAGAGAGCACTGGTTCAAACCTTGAGTTTTTCTTATAGAGGTCTCTACATTCCATGTTGGGAGGATCAAGGAGCCTTATTGACTTTTTGTTTTCTTCTTGGTAGATTCTTTCGTTGTATAGAGCAATGACTACTTTTCGTATAGAGCCTTATTATTTCAAGAAAAGATTGTTTTTTGTATAGAGCCAGCACCTCTTTGATGCCTATTTAATGTAGTCCCTTCTCCAGAGAAAAAGGAAATTGGTTGATATTTGAGGTTGAATCATTGGTGACTACTTCTTGGGTGCCATGTCGATTCATGTTATTCATCATTTTGTTTTTTATAGAATCTCAGTGTTACTCTATGAATATTTTTTTTTATCATATCTTTTTGAGTTACTGGGAATTAATGAAGTTTCTTCGTTTTCATTATTTTTTTGAGTTAAATAGATGTTGTTGTAGCCCCGCCTTTTGTCTACATCGATCAGGTGAAGGCTTCATTAACAGATAGAATTGATATATCTGCTCAGAACTCTTGGGTGGGGAAAGGTGGAGCTTTCACCGGAGAAATCAGGTTGGCTTGCACATCACCTCTTATAAAAGCTTTTCTTTATACTTTTGCAAGGCTGAAGCTGTTTGATCATCTTAATCTCTTGAGTAGACACTCATGTAATTGCATGCATGCATGTTGCATTACCCCATTTTTCATTTGTTCATTCCAACTGTACGCCTCTGTAGCGTGGAGCAATTGAAAGATCTTGGCTGCAAGTGG